TAAAATATGACATCAAAACTAAATCATTATTTTCAAATGTATATCTGCTAACATGAAATAATTATCTATCTTTGGTTTAAGAAAATGTTTTATGATTATTTCAAGAAATCTACTATTTAGTGAAACTTAAATGGAGTATTTCTGATTAACTGTCAGAACTGAGTGAATAAAATGGAAAAGATTTCTTATGGTAAATTTCAAATGAATTCTGGAAATTATTTTTGAAACTATGTATTTTTCAAAATCTATTGAAAAAAATAAGAATAATGGTGGGAGACTCACAATTACCTAATGCATAATAACAACTAAATCAGCATGACACAGATACAGAAGTAATAGACTTACAGATAAGTGGAACAAACTAGATAACTTAAAAACAAACCCAATATAAATAAGGTAAAGTAAGCATTATAAATTAGCGATAATTTAAATTGTCAGTGAGAAAATGTGTTAACCATTTGGGGAAAAAAAATAAAGTTAGATCCCTACTCTCTGCCAGACTCAAAAAAAGCACTAGAAAAAAATATGTTAATGTTTTTATACTCTTGGATTAAGAAGGAACTTTCAAAGAACAGCACTAAAGGCAGAACCCACAAAGAAAAGGACCGATAAGTTTGGCCATATAAACTTTTTGAACTTTTACAAATTAAAAGGAAGAGGCCAGTTATGATGGCTTATGCCTGTTATCCTAGCACTTTGGGAAGCCAAGGTGGGTGAATCACCTGAGGTCAGGAGTTGGAGACCAGCCTGGCCAATGTGGTGAAACTCCATCTCTACTAAAAATACAAAAACTAGCCTGGTGTGGTAGCACATGCCTGTAGTCCCAGCTACTCAGGAGGCAGAGGCAGGACAATCACTTGAACCTGGGAGGCAGAGATTACAGTGAGCCCAAATTGTGCCACTGCAATCCAGCCAGAGTGACAAAGCAAGAGTTTGTCTCAAAAATAATAATAATAATAATAATAATAATTCTAAAATAAAAAGAAAGAAAAAATTTAAAGGCGAAGAACTGAATAAATTATTTGCAAACAATAAATATGAAAGGCAAAGGATTAATGTCCTCAGGGTTAAAAATGTTCTCACAAATTCAGTAAGACAAACAGGCATTCCAATAGAAATGTGAGTAAAAGCCATGAACAGACAAGTCACAAAGGATGCAGAATAGCCAATAGAAATGTTTTTTAAAAAGCACCTTTCACACACAAAAATCACTTTTCGTACTCAAAATATATATTAAAAATAATGAGATGCCATTCTTAACTAGATTAACAAAGATTAAGAATACTAATACTACCCTATGATAATGAGACTGTAAGGGATGTGGTTATTGTCACATAACCAGTATAATCTTTCTGGAGAACAATTTGGTAAGGTCTATCAAAAACACAACCCATTGACCCTGAAATTTCACTTCTAGCATTTTGTTTCAAGTAAATAAGGAAAGTGTGCCAAGGCAAATATACGATGATATTTATTGTACAACTGCTTGTAGTACTGCTTTTCATGAGAGGAACTAGAGCATAGTACATAAGATTCAAACTGGTAAAAGACCTTAGGCAAGTAATCTCTTTTTGCCTCCATTTTGTATATAAAATGAAAGTAGTAATAACCGCATCTTCAAACTGTTGTGCAAGTTAGCATGCTTAGAATCAGTTTCTGGCATATAGTAAAGATTATTTCATTGTTAGCTATGATTATAACAGTGGAAAACCAAAGTAATCTAAACATACAACAGTAAGATAGTGGCTAAGTAAGTTATGATTAGTCATATAATGGAAGAGTCTACACATATTAAAAATGATAACAGATTTATGTTTTATGCAGAGAAATGTTCACATTATATTGCTAAATGAAAAAAGTAAATGATGAGACAGTATATATAGTATGATCCCAGTTTTGTCTTTAAAATAAGTATATATGGCACAGACAAAACTCAAAATACACGTTAATAGCATTTCTTTCTAGCTACTGGAAACAGTTATTATTTTATCTACCTACTATTCCTAAGTTTTCTATAGTGAAAATATAGTGAATAAAAATATAGTAAAAGCCAAACAGAGAAAACAATTGAGCGGTTTCTCAAAAAGGTGAACCTAAGAGTTTCCATGTGAACCAGAAATTCCACTCCTAGATGTATAGCCAAGAGAATTGAAAGGATATGTTCACAAAAAAGCTTGTACATGAATGTTCATAGCAGCATTTAATCAGCCAAAAAGTGGAAGCAGCTCAAATGTTTATTAACTGATAAACAAACAAAATATGGTATATCCATACAATGGAATATTATTCAGCAGTAAAAATAAAGAATAATATTAAGCCAAGTAAAAGAAGTCAGAAGTAAAAGACCACATACTCTGTGGTTCCATTTATATGAAATGTCCAGAATAGGCAAACCTATACAGACAGAAAGCAGATTACTGGTTGCCAGGGATTGGGAGGAATGAGGAATAGGGAGTGACAGCTAATGGATATAGGTTTTCTTTGGGGGTGATGAAAGTGTTCAGGGATAGATAGTGATGATGGTTGCAGAACTTAGTGAATATACTAAAAACCACTGAATTGTATATTTTTAAAGACCAAATTTTATGGCTTGTGAATTATGTCTCAGTAAAATAATGTTTAAGAAAAGTAAAACAGAATCTATTAGCTGTAAGACAGCAGATTTTAAAAGGAATTTGGCAAATTAAAGTCTCATTTTTCATTGAATCCTATAATTACAGGTATGGATTTTAAAATAATAGATTTTTTTTGTTCTACCAAAAGACATATGCATGCATATGTTCATCAAAGTACTAGTCACAGTAATAAAGACATGGAATTTCCCTCGGTGCCCATCAGTGGTGGATTAGATAAAGAAAATGCAGTACATATATACCATGGAATGCCACACAGCCATAAAAAAAGAATGAAGTTATGTCCTTTGCAGCATCATGGATGCAGCTAAAGACCATTATCCCAAGTGAATTAACACAGCAAGGAATGATAAAACAAATTCCACATGTTCTAACTTATAAGTGGGAGCTAAACAATGAGTGCCCATGGCTCGTTGACATAAAGATGGTAACAATAGATGTTGGGGCCTGCTAGACTGGGGAAGAAGTGGAGGGGCAAGGGTCAAAAAACTTACTGGTAGGTACTATGCCTGGTACCTGAGGGATGGAATCATTTGTACCCAAAACCTCAGCATCACACAGTATACCCAGATAACAAATCTGTATGTGTGCCCCTGAATCTAAAATAAAAGTTGAAATTATTAATTTTTTTTTTATTTTAGATTCGAGGGCACATGTACAGATTCAGGGGACAGAATCATTCATACCCCAAACCTCAGCATCACACAATATACCCAGATAACAAATCTGTATGTGTGCCCCCGAATCTAAAATAAAATTTGAAATTATTAATAGATAAATAAATAAAAGTAAATTTTGTTGCAGAAATGTGAATCAGGAAATTATAAGTGACCCTGTAGCTGTATCTCCACAGCTTCCCCTAACCCTCACAACCCCACTTTAGTTAATGAAAACTTGAGGCATTTAAAAACTGATATAGGAAACTGTTTGTTGTCAGAACTTGGCTTTATATCTTAAATTATTTGCACTACTTTTGGAATCTTTATGTGTCTGTGTTTTGTCATGTAAGCTGCCATCTCTATAGCTCACCTTATGGTGCGTAAGTTGTTCAAGTATGTTCTAGAATAACGTACCAAGTATAAATTATCTCATTTTCCCCTTTGTGATTTCTCTTTCTCCTCTTTCCATTCCTTTCCCACTCCTGGCCTTTCTTGTACTCCAAAATATTTGAAAAATCGAGTTAGCGTATAGTACCTTATTTTTAATAAATTCTTTCCTTAAGCATTTTTTGAACACCTAATATGTATCAAGGCAATGTGCTAAGGTTAACAAAACAAAAATGAAATACCTGGTTTCAGACAGATAAAGTGATACATCTTAGAGCTGCTCTGGGAACAGTTTAGGAGGCCATTTAACCCAGATATGGACCGTAAGGCAGGACTTCTTTTACCATCAATACAATTGGTAGATCTTCTTTTAAAGCACATCGCATCAATTCTACATTTTTAGAAAACTGTTGACAGTATAGCTTATTCTTGGTACTTAGCAAATCCTATAATTATATAAGTACAGAAAAAAAATTTTTGAGAAAAGCAGTGGGGATCTATCCCCAAAGGTATGTATATAAGCCAAAAATTATTTTTTAATTGGCATCAATATAAGCAGTACAGGCACAGAGACACTGAATGAAGGCCTGCTTTCTGCTCAACTGCTTAGAGTGTTTAAGATCTTTTAAACCATCAGAACTTTTAGGCTTTGCTTCCCCTACTAATAATACCTATTAGATTTTTTAAAATACCATCATGAACTTAAAGGAATTACTATTCTCATTGGTGTTTTTAAGGAAACAAATAATGTCTCTATACTGCTTTGTTCAGGACTGATTTTCAACTGATATATACTGGTATAGCCATATTGGTTGTTAGGTATTGAAATATCTTCTTACTGGTTGGTAAAGAGCTGCTGTCGTAAGCTGTCTGGATGACCCGCCACAGCCTGGTCTTTCCAACAGGAACTTGACTCCTGCACCTCCCCACAATCCAACAATTAAAAGGTTGTCCGAGGCATAGCAGAAGGCCTTTAGGACCCTCTGCTTCACTAGGCTTGCATCCATGCTGATTGCTGGTGCTTGGGCCATCCCTTTCCTGTAGTAATTTTGAATATCATCCCGACTTTCTGACTGATTGGGTAAATCATTACTGATTTTTATCAGTGTTTGTGTTCTGCAATCTAGAGTATCAAATAGCTCAAACTCACCTGTGTTGCTTATCTGTATAGAATCAATATTCAGAGGTACATTCTTTCTGAATAAGCCCAGAATGCCATCATACTGTAACTCAAGTCTCTTAAACCACACTGCATTTTTTTCTTTATTTCTCTCAATGTTGACAGTTTGACCTAAGTTCTATGTTCTCTTGTTCCTTTCAGTTCGCTTTGCACCTTATAGGCCTCCAGATATCTCCTTGAAGCCTCTGCTCTTTGAAGTGCCCAGCATCACTACAGAGTCAGTGTTTGTTGGCCGAGATTGGGTTTTCCACGAAATAGATGCTCAACTTCAAAGTTCAAATACCAGCGTGAACCAAGGAGTAGTAATTGTGGGAAACATTGGCTTTGGCAAAACTGCCATCATCTCCAGACTGGTGGCCCTCAGCTGCCATGGTACAAGGATGAGACAGATCGCCTCAGACAGCCCACATGCCTCCCCGAAACGTACGTATTCCTTTTTAACAAACTCCCTGCTTCATTGGTGCTGAAGCTTTTCTGACATATTTATATTAGGTCATATATCCTTTTATTTTCTCATCTGCAAAACCTGACTTCCACGTGAGGACTATTCATTCAGAGTTGAGAGAAAGAACATAATACTCTATTTACATCTAACCCACATACCCAATAGTCACCTAAGTGTTACTGAGAAAAAAAAAACCTTTTTCATGGAATAAATTTATGACTCTTCCATGCTGGCCGTACAGTTGGTCTGTCCTTTAGATAACAACTGCAGCAGTTGCCAGTAGAGTGCTTTGCATTCATCACTGTCGGATTTTGCTTAGTCTGTGCCCAGTTCTTCTTGGATTTGCCAGCACGATCTGTTTGCATCCTTCATTTCTTTTCTGTTGACATCAGCATTGTACTGCTTGGACTTGAGCTTCATTGTGTCCTTGAAGGGGTACTCCTGCTTCCTTGTGAAAAGGTGTTGAGCTCTCATATGTATTCAGGCTTCTTTCGTCACAAGCAGGGGGCAGCTTAATAATCACC